GGTGTAAGAATTACTTTTGAATACTGCTCATATCGCGATCGCCATCGCGATTGCTTGAAGACGCCGCAATCGCCGATGACTCGAACTTTAAATTCCGCAAATACTCAATGCCATGTAATCTGGAGTATATATGCACTGCAGAATAGGGGTGTTGAATATATCTCCCAGCGCCGATGGCCCACATATAGTGTAAATTTTGTCGATTGCGGTCTCCTGTAAAGGAGATCTGCTTCTACCACCACACCACCCTAGTCTATGACCACTTAACTCCGCAAAACTGCGCGTACAAAAGCACCCCGATATGGAGCCATTGAAGCTATTTGGCACAGATCCTAGCCCATCTATGAAACCAATTTCGACCCTTGCGCCTTCTCTAACGCTAAATACACGAATTTCTATCCGCACACCTACACTTTTTCTCGAGCTACCGCCATTGACGCAATAAAACTTGGCACAGATTTGAGCAAGGGTGGGGAGACGATGGATATTTGTGAAAGAGTATTTGAGACACCCACGGAAAAGACCTCGGATGCGTACGCAACAAAACTACGCTTTTTAAAAATCAACCTCTTCCGAAATCCAGTCTTGGTGGCGTTTGACACCACATAATTTGGCGCATACATGCATGCACATCACTATGAAGGCTTCACACTTATGTTTGGCAGCCCAGGAGACACCCATGACACATATTTCATTGCTCTACCATTCTTCTCTTCCCCTCCCCCGTGGTTTCCACCATCGTCGTTCTTTCCTGAACTGCGAACTGGACCATACCACGAATGAGTATAGGCATTCAATCATTGATAGTGGGCAAAAACATCGTAAAGAATGAGGAAAACCTATAAATAATTTCGTTTAAATGTGACAGTGGCTAGATCCTTAGCTCGTTATTATAAGTAATGATGATCATTGATACGATCTTTTTCATAAAACTTTATCAACCAGCTAATCTCGAAAACACACCTAACTGAAATGTTAAGACCTCGTGAGAATGCAATCGTTTATTGACTATAAGCTAAAGCAGAGGTTGATGCGGATGAAAACGAAGCTCTCCGACGCTTAGTTTTAGCTGCACTCCTTGAAGAATAGCTGAAACGAACTGGTGAAAGCTTTATAGCTCTAAAAATTAAAGAAATTATGTCCATAAATATTCAAACTCTGCTGTTACTTTGTATTTAACACTACGAAAATCTTTTTTAGACCAGCATCTTTACAAAAGTATGAATCACGTATAGTGAATAATCAAAGATCAGCAAAGATTTCACTGCCTAAGGTGGACCATTGACAACTTCGCTGATGCAGTGTTTACAAAAGCAACTGTGGATGGTAGCACCTTAGCAGCATTTGGCTGTAAATAGACGAGGCAAGACATTGCTATACCGATTTGGCCCTCGCAACTCTTATCGTTTCAGGATTTGACAGCATTTTCAATGAATAACTTCAGTTTTTGCATAGAATTTTGTCGCGAAGCACTCGAACTCTGGCATGATACGTGCAAAACGTGTGCTGATGCACTGCGCCATGTGAACACGTGTATCACATTACATTCACCACTTTTATCTCTACACTACCGCTCATACACCGTTCGAAGGGAAAGTTAGCTCAGTCAGTTCGAAGTCGTCTTGGTGTCAATGCTTTGTCGACGCCCATGCACTAACTTTTCATTCGCACATTTATTACTGCAAACCAAATCCTAGCAGAAAAATGGAATGCTCACTAGTCAGCGTAAAGGTGGAGCCAAACCCGGACTTTCACCTCGGAGATAGATGGCTTGTGGACGGCTCAGAGACTGTTGCCATCCACAAGTCGAAATACCGTTTATGGACGAGGAATAACCGCGTAAACGGTACAGACCCCAGTGACCGCTTTATCACAAACAAATCACATACAGGGGAAGATATCCCTCAAAGGACATTTTGCTCGCTGTGATAGTGCTCGCGCTTCTTTCAGGCGCGCACCTCGTCGCACACTGCGGCCTCTGTTTAGCAGCTGCAATATTTTCGACAGGAGCAAGACATGATCATCACTATGGCGATTAAAGCTGATGATTAGAATTTGTTATCACTTTTTGTGCTTCTTCTCAAAGCCATTGTCTCGGACCCTATCTAGCATATTTGCAAAAAGTAATCTTAAGTTCTATTTATCTTTGAAATGGACCTTATGCCTTGTTGCCGATTTCGGTTAAATTATCACCACTCAATATGAATT